CACAAACTGTCAAATCTTTATGGTGGTAAAGTATGGTCAGAAAAATATGATAACTAACAACCTACCAAGTATAAAAACATTCTTGCAAATGTTCTCAAGGAGGTAACATTTAAAAGGTGTCATTATGTGACAAAACAAATAAAGTCAAACATGGTTATAAAGCAATTTGACATGATCAATACTATTCAACAGTCTATACTGCCAATTACTGATTTGAAATATTTCCCTGTCAATTGTAGACCGGTTCTATACCAGGCAAAATGGGCATATGGAAGAGGACTAAAATTTTGTCTCTTTATCAAATTGATGACATTTTCAAGTCAAAGGGCAACATCAAAAGTATTGACAACAGTTACTTTTATTTTCTTTTTTGAAAGATGAAAGGATGTAATTGAATACTTGAAATAGTGTTGACATAACATGTGTCTGACATAACAAATTATAAGCCTGGTATCTTTGATGAGGTTTTTTATATATATCAGTCAGATTTCGATTTTTGATGGTGATCATGGTGATAAGTCTAACAATAAAATCCTGCTGTGGTATTTGCAACACTTTTCAAAAGATATATGTATCTACTGTGTCAAACAAAATAGTGTAGCTATGCAACTTTTCCTACATATCAACATGCCGCTGTCACAACTGGAATAGCTCCGTACTAATTTCCTTGTTTCATCTGGTTGAAATTTTCCTTATATCTCATTTTATTCAAAGCAGAACATCTCACCCATTAGCATATCTACGAGAGTCTAGATGAATGAGGTTTACAGAATAGAAAATAATGGGCCAATACTGCAGAAAAATGGGCAAAAAACTAAAGAATAGAGAAAAATAGGCCAAAAAAGTAAAGAATATAGAATAACGGCAGGGCTCACGCTAGCAGGCGACTGGGGCAACAAAGTCGCTTTCCTGTCCGTCACTTCGCCTTGCCCGACCGTCAAAAGCGAAATCTAGTCGCCCTGTTGTTCACGATACTCGCTTTCAGTCGCTTTCATCATCGGCAATATTCAATATTTACGAACGAGTACTTCTCTTTCAAATCTCACCACTTCTCCCTCTCAGTTTCAAAAAGAGAAGTCACTTCTCCCTATGATTCTGAAGTAGTGTGAGCCCTGACAGGGTGCTAAAATTAAAGAATAGAGAAAAATGAGCAAAAATATTAATAATGTTTACACAGGATAAAAATGTTTGATGCTCAAAGAGATATAAGTTATAACTCTGGAAATACTCATCAAACCTTAAAATTCGTCATTTCTGTTTTACTGTGTAGCTGGTACCTTACACATTGATGCATTGCCCATCTCATCTTTTCAAAGATGCAAGATGATTATCTATAATAGTATATATCATGTATATTAACTGTAAAAGTTTCCTTGACGATTACATATTGAAAAAAATCCTACAAAGTGTACACTATCATGACTATGACTGTAAGATATGTAAATCCTATATGTGTACATCATGTGCAGTCCTGCAGAGTAACACAGACACCTTAATTCTTTTGTAATGGGTCAAATATACAAATGTGTCATTTTCATTATGAAATCTGGTAATGTGTTAGAAAGCAGCATTTATATTGTTAATTTTTTTTTAAATCAACAGTTTGGCAACAATTGACAACTTACTACATTTGTAGAGTCTTCAATTTATCTGCTGAATCTTATATCAAATTTTATATTTTTGGTCAAAGTGTAGCCATGTTTGAGGATAGTCTTAGTAAAGGTATCTAGGTAATCAACTTTTTTTTTAGGGAATCAAATTCACCATTTACATGTAGATAACAACTGTTAACAATTAATAAATTTCATGTATAACGATCCAGTCCCCTCTTCTCCACCCTTGGCAGATTAAGCCAACATTTGTGATGATAACATTGTGCCATCTACCGGTAGATAAAAGTCACGCCCATTCCGACTACATCATTCTTGGCCAATGGCAGCACTTGAACTCTCTTCAGTGTGGAGGTGTAAAAATGGTTGTGTCTAGTGTTTACAAATTTCGTAGAGCAGGAATCGAAAATATACAATTAGTTGATTAAAAACTTTAAAATTGTCACTAAATATCGTCCAATGTTTTGGGGGTAAGGAAGTGTTGCTCAATCAGCACATGGCAATTGTTTATTTACATTTACACATGGTCATCTTAAAGGCGCGTTTAGATTGGATGCAGCCATTTACAACTCCGACCAATGGAAAGCATTACCTCGTAGATCCGGAATTCTAGCTTAATCTGCCAAGGGTGGAGAGAAGGGGACTGGATTGTAATCCTTGGCTAGCAAAGATGGGTATTCCACAAAGAGCCAGCAACCCAATGACAAACACAACCCAAAAGAAATCTAGAGGTCACCAGCCTCTTAACAAAAAAAACAAGAGGCTCTCAAGAGCCTGAATCGCTCACCTGTTATTTTTTTGGCTTAAATCTTTCATCAATGATTATTTTTGCCTTTTACCCATATGTTTCATTTTAGCCATAGTGTCTATGTTTCTTGACGTACAAGGAAATGAAATACAAAATTTATACTAGATTCATTTGAAAAGATTTTTAAAGTTAAAAAACATAAAACAACCTGTGTAAAATTGTCCTTAACAGGGTTCGACATTAACTTTTATACCAACTTGTCCAGTTGGGCAAGTGCCCTATTACTTTTACTTGTCTGAAAGTGAAATCTACATGCCCAAACTTTTACATGCCAGGGTTGATTGTTGTGCCATGATGGCAGCAACTAAACTTGACCACTGAGATACTATGAGGCATATATGAGCCGAGGAGGGAGGGAAAAGATCGAGGAATATACGGGAATTGGATCATTTACATAGAGATACTTATTTCATAATAATTTATCTAAGAAATGCCATTTCAAAAAACCCTTCTTAATAAACTGTGACAACAACTGACAAATTTGTTAAAGTTTAATTTCATTTTCTCTTTCAAGCTTTTATGTTTTCCATCTTCATGATCTTAGGGAAATACACATCCGATGTCAAATTCTAAGTTAGAACAATGAAAATAGACTTCCACTTTCCATTGATCGGTGGGAATAACACATGCGTTGGAAACGCCAGAGTGGTGTCCCGATTGATAATGATGATGACGAAGCAAAGCCACGGCCACCTGATTGGCCAATATTTTTAAACGTGATCTATTTTTGGTAAAATGGGGAATTCAGAGCGAACAAATGACTAAATATACACATTAAAGGGGGTTAAGACCACTTTACTCGACCGTGCGTAATCTATGGACAAAACAACAGACACTATTGATTTTGTGAAATTTTAATCATATAACAGTTTTTTTTTCACTTGCCCGATCAGACAACCAAGATGATGTTTTTACTTGTCCGAATACGGCATTAACTTGCCCTGGGCAATCGGACAACCATAAGTTTCTGACCCTGCTTAAAGGGCAATAACTCCTTAAGGGGTCAATTGACAATTTTGGTCATATTAAACTTTTTTGTAGATCTTACTTTGCTGAACATTTTTGCTGTTTACAGTTTATCTTTATCTTCAATAATATTCAAGATAATAACAAAAAACTGCAAAATTTCCTTAACACAACCAATTTAGTGGCAGCAACCCAACAATGGGTTGTTCGGTGTGTCTGAAAATTTCAGGGCTGATAGATCTTCACCTTTTGAACATTTTTACCCCATGTCAGATTTGCTCTAAATGCTTTAGTTTCTGAGATATAAGCCAAAAACTGCATTTCACCCCTATGTTCTATTTTTAGCCATGGCAGCCATGTTTGTTGATGGATCAAAATTTCGGATAAAATTCATAAACTAGATTCCTAAAGGAACATTCATTCAAAGTTAAGAAGTATTAGGCACAATAGTTTCAGAAGAGAAGATTTTTAAATGTTAGCAAACTTGATGAACACATTGCGTAAAATTGTCTTTAAAGGGCAATAACTCCTTAAGGGGTCAGTTGACAAATTTGGTCATTTAACTTTTCTGTAGATTACTTTGCTGAACATTATTGCTGTTTACAGTTTATATCTATCTATAATAATATTCAAGATAATAACAAAAAACTGCAAAATTTCCTCAAAACTACCAATTTAGTGGCAGCAACCCAACAATGGGTTGTTCGATTTGTCTGAAAATTTCAGGGCTGATAGATCTTGACCAATTGAACAATTTTACCCCTGTCAGATTTGCTCTAAAAGCTTTAGTTTTTGAGATATAAGCCAAAAACTGCATTTGACCCCTATGTTCTATTTTTAGCCATGGCGGCCATGTTTGTCGATGGATCAATACTTCGGATACAATTTATAAACTAGATACCCTAAGGAACATTCAGTTAAAGTTTGAAGGTATTTGGCCCAGTAGTTTCAGAGGAGAAGATTTTTGAAGTAGTTTACGACGACAGACGACGACGACGGACGCCAAGTGATGGCATATAAGCTCACATGGGGCCCTTTGGGCCCCGGTGAGCTAAAAATTGAACATACCCCTAATTGCATACCAGGAGGCACTGTTTCTCAGAAGTTTGGTAATACAAAAACAGTTACTTCTGATCTGAGTAACAGGCAAAATATACAGAGGGACCCCAGGCTACTGAATTCTATTTTGATTTTTTTTTTTCATTGCTCCTACCCCTACAGCCCAAGGAGGGTTAATTAAACTGAAATTTTACTGAATATTAAGATATTTCTTAACAGACTCATGTTCTCCATGCAAGTTTATAAACTATTTGATTTTTGATTGCCACCGTCCCCCCTCAGGCCTGTTATATTCAGAAATTCTACAAACAATTATTACTGTAGCTAACCTGAAATTTAAATTTCTACAAGCATATAGGCAGTATTTCTTTACAATTTTATCCCAAGCCATTAGAGAGAGGAGAAATATATCTGGCAATTTTTTGTTATTTTCTTACTGATATATTATAGCCAATTATGATTTGTCTGAATCATATTACAGTGCTTAGTTTAAAATGCGCCACTGACAATGCAATGATCTATAGAGGTAAACCAATCGTTGATTATTTGCAACATACCTTGTAGTGTGCTTCAGATCAGTTGGTTCAGGTTCAAGGATATCTTGTGATAGTGATATACCATCACACTCTCTGAGTAGAACATAAATAGGTTCAATTTGTTCATTAAATTTTGCCAGTAAAGTCCGAGCATCTTTTTGCATAACAGCACTTTCATCTTCAACAACCTCTTCACTACAGTATGTACAAATAAACTTTTGCGTACTCAAATCAAATAACTGGTCCACTTCCAAATCAGTGAAAGTTTTCTCACATCCTGGGCATTTAAATGATGCTCGACTAGTATTGTCCCTCTCCTCCATTTCTATTTTCCGTCGCACATGATCCAGTTTGTATTTGACAACGTTAACAAACATTAAATAATTGATAAAATAGTAATTATGGCGTGTCATTTTACCTTCTGTATCTGTCTCAACTCTCATACGGAATTTCAAAAATTTCTCACTTTTTAGAGTGTTTATATAAGACCTCAACTGTTTCCTATCATACTTCAATAGTTCGATGATGTCATCTTCCTTCATACATGGATTACGTACCAATAAGTCAATAACAATAGCATGCTCTATACTATAGAATCCACGTACTACAAGTCTAATCAAACGTTTTAATGACTCTGGTACTTCTGTCAACACTTCTGGTTCCATCTTTCACTTAAATGGATGACTGTCAGTTATACATGTGTTTCTAAAAGAAAAAAATCAGAAGAAAATTAACAGAATTAGGAATCAATTGAATCCAGTGAGGTTTAACCCACCATTTTCTATGTTGGTGATTCTAATATGACGTTCTTCTTTTGCTTTGGAAACAAAGCCATGTTCTAATTCCAATAAAACATGGGCTGCACGTGATTGACGTCACAATTGAAATTGCAACGTCAGCTGTGTTTTAAACAATGCCGGAAATCAAAATGGACATTTGTTTTTGTGTTGCTCGCTAGGAAATTAAATAAAATCATTCTAAAAGTAAGTTTACATGTATCTGTTCATTTGTTTATCGTGAAACAGTTGATTTTCTATAACATTTTGGCTTCATCAATTCACACAAAATGGATGCCTTTTGAACGTGTATTATAGGTCCGCATCGAAGTACAAAAGTTCAAAATTTTCCAATTAGAAACGAAATAATTCTATCATGCCATGCTCTATGCTCATTTTAACAGGCATTATATTTGTCAACATTTTACACCTCGCCTTAGCTCGGTATAAAGATATTGACAAATATAATGCCTACCCATGTAAAAAAGAGCATAGAACATGACATGAAAGAATTATATCTTAAATATAGTGCAACAGTTGATTTTGTCAGGATTTATGGACTTCCTTCTTTTTCAACTTACCTTGGATTTCAGTATTTTTGTTAATACATTTTTGTTAATAATACCTACACAGTAATCAGTACTTAAAACAATCTGACATACCAAAATCTCTGGCAAACAGTTTAAAAACTTACCACTGAAATTATTTTCCTGTTAACCAAATTTTTCGCATGCGGTCGATTCTTTTTTAATTTTATGAAGACCTATCTTTAAAAATATCAAGCGTTGAAGTATTGAATATTTAGGTAAATATAGGGTAAAATCACCTAAATAAAGCTGTTTCACCTGAGAAAATATAATTTCAATATTTCAAATTAATTTAAATTGCTTTAGGTCATGTAGGTATAATTGGTAAACCATTGTTTGTGTCGCATATAGAGCAGGATCTGCTTACCCTTCCAGAGCACCTGAGATCACCCCTGGTTTTTGGTGGGGTTCATGTTGCTCAGTCTTTATGTTTCTATGTTGTGTTTTGTATACAGTTGTTTATATTTTGGTTTTTTGGTAGTTCTTTGTTTTTTGCCATGGCATTGTCAGTTTGTGTTCGACTGTAAGGATAGAATAAATATACAAAATAAGGCCAATGTCAAAAAATATTAACTTTTTGTGTGAGCCTTACAACTTGTTCAACAGTTTTGCATTCAATACAAAAAGTCAAACATTCTTTTTAAGCTGCAGCTATAAAATGCTAATATAATTACCATTTAAATAAATACACAAATTGAATATTCTTTTCTATCCCTAATTAATAGAGCCCCCGATTGTGAAGGAAAGCAGTGAAATCACATGGTCATTGAACAAAATATCCCTTTGTTACTATTTTTGTTATTTACTTTTTGTTACTATATTTTGTCAATAAGGACAACAGGAACTGTTCTGGTTACATAGACAGCACTAATGCGTATAAATACATGTATATATCCCGCAGTACTATGAAAGTCTATTGATCCTCAACACTGTTCCAGCTGTAGACTAGTATATCATGATATACATGTATATATATACAATATCTATATCAGTTTTATTGGGCAAGGAAACTGGAGTACCCAGGGAACCAGTGATTTTCAGCCAGTTATTGTCTGATACATGCTTGTAGATTGATTGAAAGCACTTCCGTCATGTTTGCAAATTATATAGTAGTGTACTGTACATGGTAGTTGTCTGATAGATAAATCGAAGAAAAGACTATTTAACAGAACACTATACAAGGTACTGTAACATCCTAGCTTTACAAAACAAAGGTACATTATAATAATAGGAAGTGCAATTCTTAAAATTCTTTTAAAAATATGAGCAAATTGTGCACCATCTTAAAATCCTGAGAGATCACATAGATCCAGCATTACCGATTAAAAAAAATTGCAATACTGAACTTAATTTGTATTTTAATTCAGAAGGGACATTTATTTCAAAATTATAGGTTTTATTATCAATAGAAGCCAAGGTTGTGCCCGGTATTTATCAGTATTTACTACCCGGTTCAATACTCCTCAAGTGGTTAATACTGGCATATTCTGGTTGATTGAAATTTTCATGGTTCTTTTGACTGACTTCACTCAATTTTTCGGAAAATATTGGTTGATGGGTGAAATTATTTTAATTTTATTCCTTTGGCATGATTCAGTTTATTAAAAAAAATGATATTTGTGTATTTTATAAACTATTAACATGAATAATGACTTATTAGTTCGTAGGGGTAATGATAATACATACTTTAGGTACACAATGTACAATGATGTACTATTAAAAAATGAGCATTGCCTTTTCCTAACCTAAAAAAGTGCCCTGCCCTTCACTGGCACCCTGCCCCTTTCAATTTCTAGCTGGAGCAATACAGTACATGTATATATAATTTAATTTTGGATGTAACACGTCTTCTGATTGGCTGACATTGTTTTGTTTATCAGCTCATAGACATAATTCTGTCATGTGACCGTGACGTCATCAACGTTTTTCATGGTTTACTCCGGTTTAAAATGGAATTTAGAATTAAATTATAAGAAATGACTGTAATATTTTTTTCTGTCTATTCGAAATAACATAAAAAATGTGGTGCACACTTTAAAATAACACGCTACGTGGGTTATTCAGTGTGCACCACATTTTTGATGTTATTTCTTCATAGACAGAAAAAAATATTACAGTCATTCCTTAAATAAAATTGTTATATCAATTATTTCAACATGTTAAAAAAAAGATATTTTTTCTTGAAAAAATTGATTTTACAGGTAAATAGAATTACAGGTGACTAGATTACTCTTTAAAACAATAAGTTAATTTCTCGCTATTCAACCGCATGATAAAAATCTTCTAAATGCAGAAAATACAGTTTGAAGGATCTTTACTCTTATGTCTGCATTTATCTCTTTCTTTAATGTGTTATTATAATAATCAGTCTATCATGTGTTCATGTAGAATTTCAATTTACATGATTTACATAAGCATGATAAGAGAAGATAACATTAAAGAAAAGTCTAGACTAATATTAACACTTTCATATTTTCATGACTAACAGTAATTGAAGGTACATTTTAGGGCAAAAAGTCACAGGTCTGAGGACAGAAAGTCACAATTCAGTTTCGAGAAACTTTTTCTTTGAATAAGAAAGGACTTTTTTTTTAAGACCATTTTTTTTCTTCTTAAACTATTACATATAAATAAGGTAACTTTTAAATGTTTTTTGTTACATTTGAAAAAATCAATGTTAAGAAAACAAGCTGTCATAGTCTCTTTTTAGTGGTGCCAAGAAATATGTCCTTAGTATGATTAATATTTGATAAATCTTCATTTAACCATGTCCAGGAACAATTCCACCCTTTTCTACATAAGGAAATGCCTGTACCAAGTCAGGAATATGACGGTTGTTTTCCATTCGTTTGATGTGTTTGAGCTTTTGATTTTGCCAATTGTTAAGGGACTTTCCGTTTTGAATTTTCCTTGGAGTTCTGTATTTTTTTGTTTTACTTTTTTCATAAACTGTACAATGAATTTATCTTATAATAAAGCATTATTAAATTAATTGATTGACTAAATAAAATTGAGAATGGAAATGGGAAATATGTCAAAGAGACAACAACCCGACCAAAGAGCAGACAACAGCCGAAGGCCACCAATGGGTCTTCAATACAGCGAGAAAATCCCGCACCCAGAGGTGGTCCTCAGCTGGCCCCTAAATAAAATTGTGTGCTAGTTCAGTGAAAATGGATGTCACACTAAACTCCAAAACATATAAATGAACTAAAATTAAAAAACATACTAGACTAACAAAGGCCAGAGTCTCCTGACTTAGGACAGGCGCAAAAATGTGGTGGGGTTAAACATGTTTTGTGAAATCTACCTAACATCCAGTGGTAGATATAATTGATATTTTAGTCTTAGATGCATGATTTTTTTATTGGTTGTTATTGGCTTTGAACTAGCTGTCAGTAACTGTGAGTACTCTCAGATCTGTACTTAGTGTCTTTTCGTTGTAAGGATGTATAAATACCCTGCCACGTCCACTCTGTGTTTTTGTTATATGTATTTCTGTTTGTATCCATCTGTTGAGTTAAGCCTTTTTCAACTATTTTTATAGTTTGTTCTTATGTTGTACTGTTACACCACTGTCCCAGGTTAGGGGAGGGTTGGGCGCCTGCTAACATGTTTAACCCCACCACATTCTGTATGTGCCTGTCCCCAAGTCTGGAGCCTGTAATTCAGTGGTTGTCGTTTGTTTGTGTATCATAATTTTTTTTCGTTCATTATTTTGTACATAAATTAGGCCACTAGTTTTCTCGTTTGAATTGTTTTACATTTGTCATTTCTGGGCCTTTTATAGCGGACTATGATATATGGGTTTTGCTCATTGTTGAAGGCCGTACAGTGACCTATAGTTGTTAATTTCTGTGTCATTTGGTCTCTTGTGGAGAGTTGTCTCATTGGCAATTATACCACATCTTCTTATTTTTATATTTTCAGGAAGATAACAAATAAACAATAAATGCAAAAGATAGATCCTGCAATAAAGACTGAACAGAACGAAGTTTGAGGAAATTTGACTGCCACCACTAGCAAATGAGGGTAAATTAGATGGGGATAGACATTTTGCCTTGCAACAGGCCACATACAGACCTCTAGAAGAGTTGTTGCAAGGGTTCTTAACGTGCAGAGAGTGTGGTACTTTCTTTACACAAAGCATCAGATTTAACGTCCCTATTTTAACCGGGCGTTACTGTGTTATAGTACATCCCGCACAGCTAATCGAACACCCAACTTTGAAAAAGGTTTTACTGCCAGTCGGAATAAGACTATACGTATAATTAAAGTACAAGTGAGTTGTTTACAAGAGTGAAAATAATTTGTACATGCGAGACTTCAATATTTTACAAGAGAGACAATCCAGTGTCAACAGCGACACCTACAGAATACAGAACAGTCAGGGATATAACTCTATAGGGTTATTACAGAAAAATAACATACATTTGTTATTGTGGACTAAAAAATCAAAGAACTGTGATAACATATGTATGTTACATGTTTCAAAGGGACAATATACATCACTAGTTTAGTTAAAATGCATACAAGTTCTATTGATATTACTATTGTCTTTATGTATACTAACTATAGAAAGATATAACAGTTCATAGTTTGCCAATTTTGCATAGTACACCTATATGTTATTACAGAAAAAATATGCCTGTAATAACTAAAGGGTGTTATCACAGCTTCTCTATATCACTCCAAAACATTTTCTCAGACATACATCATGCATAATTACAATGTATTTTAATTTATTGTAAGAAATAATGACCAGAGCATGTAATGAGGTTCTGCGCAAGCTTCCCAGTAATTCCCAAGTGTCTCATATAATAGGTTACATTCCTTTAATAACTAAGCTATGTTATTACAGCTAATTTTATCCCTTAAAATCCTCGTCTCATTGATTTACCATGGTTAATCAAAAATGTATTAATTTAATTAGAAAATTAATTATCAAGGCTATGCATTTAGTTTCTGCGCAAAGTCTCAAGAGTTCCCTAGAGCCCATTATAAATTAAAATATTTTTGATTTATTTTACAAATAACAAACATATGTTATTGCAGATTTAGAAAATTTAAGGAATAAAGAGTAGACAACTCATGAAAGTATCTGTAATAACACACACAAGTTATTTTCTGTAATAACCCTATAGAGTTATATCTCTGACTGCAGAATAAGACAATATTTCTTTATTTAAATTTCCGCAGTCACCCTTGGCCTTGGGGCACAGGCACTTGTTTATGTCCATGGGAAGGTCGACTATCCATATTCTATATGTATATGGATAGTCTACCTTCCCATGGATAGAAACAAGTGCCTGTGCCTTGGGCCAGTTGCCTGAGTTGGGGACCAAAATATGTAAAATAAGTATATGTAATTTACATTTTTGTCATGGAGGATTTTATCTATTCCTATTATGCTACGTTTCTGTCATCATTTCTGTACCTGTTAGGCATACGCTAACATTAAATTTAGGTTTAATTTGGCGCCTAGGTTCTTGTGTTCGCAGATTTTTCTTGTGCCGGAAACAAATTTTAATGTATAAAATTAGTACAAGTTCGGAATTTTTTCCCTGTAATACCCGTGATGTGAGCCTTTGCGACGTATTTACATATATATATATAGAACATTCAATTTATCATAAAGGAGATATGAAATTGAGAATGGAAATGGGGAATATGTCAAAGAGACAACAACCCGACCAAACAGTAGACAACAGCCGAAGGCCACCATGGGTCTTTAACGCAGCGAGAAAATCCCGCACCCAGAGGTGGTCCTCAGCTGGCCCCTAAATAAAATTGTGTACTAGTTCAGTGAAAATGGACGTCATACTAAACTCCAAAACATATAAATGAACTAAAATTAAAAAACATACAAGACTAACAAAGACCAGAGGCTCCTGACTTGGGACAGGCGCAAAAATGCGGCGGGGTTAAACATGTCACAGTTGGTGAGATCTCAACCCTCCCCCTATACCTCTAGCCAATGTAGAATAAAGAAACACACAGCAATACTCACAGTAAAACTCAGTTTAAAAGATAATACCCATTATTCAATCTGATTCTAGCCTGAGATTACTGTGTTTTGATTTATCAAAAACTTAACCAATTTTCTTCGTTAGAACCTATGATTACTGTGTTATAGTAATCTCAGTTTTAATGTCACAGTGTTATAGTAGTCTCAGGTTTTAAATAGAAAATTTGTTAAGTTTCAGTGGCGGATCCAGAAAAGGGGGGGGGGGGGGGTCCGGGGGTTGGAACCCCCCCTTTTCTGGATCCGCCCCTGAAACTTAACCAATTTTCTATTTAAAACTGAGATTACTATAACACAGTAATCATAGGTTCTAACGAAGAAAATTGGTTAAGTTTTTGATAAATCAAAACATACAATTTATATAGATTTTACAAGAAGTCCATTACTAGAGTTTTTACTACATTTTACTGATATAGATCAAGGATTTGTATAGATTTCATAGATAAAATTACTTATATCCTATACCCTAGATCATATATATTTTTTAAATATGTTACGATTCTTTTATACTTAACAAAGTGCAGCTTGAATTTCCAAAATACACATTAGGCATGTACAAGTCAGCAACAAATATTGCTGTTCTAGGTGAATTGAGTCGTTACCCTGTCTCTCTGGCTGTATTCAAGTATAATATTAGTTACTAATTATTTATTAAAGACAAAAAATAAAAAAAATATTATATATTGGCAGTGGCGGATCCAGAAATTTTCATAAGTGGGACCCACTGGCTGCCTAAGAGGGGACCCGCTCCAGTCATGCTTCAGTGATTCCCTATATAATCAACCAAATTTTTCCCACAAAAGGGGGGCCGGTCCCCTGCCCCCCTCCCCCCTCATAAATCCGCCTCTGATTGGTCTTATAAAGACAACGTTTAAATTAAAATAGCCATTATATTTGATAAACTAAAAGATGTTTAAAATTTTATGACTTTGAACATGTTTGGGAAAATCAAGGTACCCTTTCTAAGTCAAAATTAATTTCATCTATTGTGAACAAACTAGAGGAAAGATTTTGATATTATTGGGAGGGGTTACATTTATATTGAGGACAAAAAGGCAGGTAGTTATATGTTGAGAACATACATGACATATCGTATTTTTAAAACAAACTTTTGCAGAGAAAAATATCTATTCAGATTTATTTACAAAAAAGCATTACAATTAACATTTGTAAAAATACGAATTAGCAATAGTAACTTAAATATTGAAAAAGGTCAATATCTGAAATTGCCAGTAGAGGAGAGGATTTGTAAACTGTGTAATTCAGGAGTTGAAGATTATTTTCATTTTATTATTGAATGTACCAAACTAAAAAAAAAGTCAAGGGAAGAACTATTTAGGAAAATTATTTCTGTCATACCTTTTTTCCTGATTATTCTGAGTTTGAGAATTTTAATATAAAGTAAGCAGTAATGACTTGGATGTATGTAAAATATGTATTTTAGGTGTCGACAAGATGTATGATATGAATCCGTCTTTAAAACAAGACGTATAATACTAATCACTCACTTGTGTACACATTTCATTTCTACTGAATTAAAGTATATTTTCATTGTTGTGTAGTAAGGGAGATAACCTGTGATTTTTTTGGATATATAATATGGGACTTAACTCTAATCAACTCAGCCGTGGTATCAGTGATGTTAGTTACTATATGCTGATGATACTGTTATTTTTCGGAGTCTGCCGCTGAATTGCAATCCGCACTAAATGCTATGTTTTTATATTGTGAAACCTGGAAACTCAAAGTCAATGTAGCTAAGACCAATGTTGTTATATTTAAAAAAAATATAGACAGTGTGATAATATTCAGTTTTTTTATAATAACATCGAACAAATAGCTGTTTTAGAAGATTTTCAATATCTGGGTACAGTTTTTTCAAGAAAAGGTACATTTTCAAAAAAAAGAGAAAATATCTCGCACGTTATATGATATGTTATATAGACTTGATGAAGGTGATGTGTATCACTCTAAATGGTTGTCATGTATCAAAGAAATTTTACTTGAATGTGGTTATAATCATTTTTGGAATGACCAAACTGTGGAAAGAAATGTTATTCTGTCAAGACAAGTAAAACAGTTTCTTCATGAAAAATTTGTTGAAAATTGGAAAGCACAAATATTTAATTCACCTAAGTGTATTAATTATAGAATTGATAAGACTGAATTTGGTCTTGAGAAATATCTCTCTGTTCTCCCACCTGATTTGATGTATAATATTATTAAATTTAGATGTGGAAGTTGCCAATTGAGGCTGGTAGATTTTTCACTATTGATAGATCTGAAAGAATTTGTGATTTATGTGATAAGGAAACTAGGTGATGAGTTTCATTACATATTTAATTGTAACTTTTTTAGTACTGAATGACATAAATTTATACCTGTTCATATCTATAACAACAGTAACATTATTAGTCTGTCTGAGTTAATGAATAGTCATGATAAATATACACTTATCGGCTTGGCAATATCTTTGTATTTAAATAATCATATTTGCAATGTTCAACTTCCAGCTGCATACATCAACTTCATATGTATATATGTTTGTTCATGCATTATATTTGTTGTTAAATTTATTGCAATATTATGCCTCATGTGAGGCCTTTAGTGAAATAAAAAGCTTCAAAAAGTTTCAAAATTTCAAGATAATTGTGCTGTCCAATGTGTTGTGTTATTATAATTTTTATAATCACATGTACATGATGTATATGTTCATTTTGTAATTAGTGATAGTTCAATGTTTGGACTTTTATTTCAATAAAAACAAGTGAATCTGTGAGCTACTGCTCACTAATGATACCCTCGCCCCGTTAAAAGTATAAGGTAAACAGGAAGTTGTTGAGTGATGAATCTGAAAACGCATCACACGGTATAGCCGACTCATATAAACCCTGAAACCAAATTTCAGAAATTCTTGTAATGTAGTTCCTGAGAAAGATGCGAAAAATATTCATGGGACGGACGGACTGACGGACAGAGGTAAAACAGTATACCCCCACTTTTCTTTAAAGCGGGGGTATAATTACTTCAAGTTAAAACTTACTTAATTACCACAGAGACATATATACAAATCTGTATTTTTTTGTCTCTGCTTACCATAATATTTTCGGGTAAATAATCTCGGACCGGTTCCTTTTTAAAAAGGGGACAAATAATCTATATAATACAATATAATATGTCTCTGACAGAACTGAGGATAGGAGACCGTCTTGAAATATTTACTTAAATATTGTATATTGATGTTAATTGTTTTTGTCTATGATTTATAGCATGCTTTAGTTGTAGAACTAAGACAATCAAGATTTGAATTGAAATTGTAGTAAGAACTGACACAGACGTAGCCTTGAACATTTATTGTATTCAGCTACTAAACTGAATGTGCTACAAAGTTCCTTAAATACATTGTGGGAAACTTGTAGTGGTCAGTAGCAGCTTTCAGATCAGTCCAGTGGCGGATCCAGAAAGGGGGGGGGGGGGGGGGGGGGGGGGGTTCCGGGGGTTGGAAGTTGGAACCCCCCTTTTTTTGGACGATCAATGCATTTGAATGGGGACATATAGTTGGAACCCCCCTTTATCCTGGGTTGAGACCCCCTTTTTAAAATGGCTGGATCCGCCCCTGCAGTCGTTGTTGAAACTTGTTATGAGGCTAAATACATTTGTACGACTAATCTGTGACTTGGGCTGCTACTAAACACAACAAGGATAATATCTACGATTTTGTCTTCAGTAGAATTAAGAAGAATGGAAAGGATATAAAAAGAATTAATGTACTATAATTTGTAATCTTTGTTATGAGTATCTCAGTCGTGATCTCTTTATATTACTTCAACTTCAAAAGACATTGTTTGTTGCTTTGTAAGCTGATTTAAACCAAGGACGTCTTTTAAGTTAAGTTATTAATCCTTGTTTAACACACCTTTATACTTTTCCGGGAGTAATTGATTTGTTTTCCAGTCTTTTTATTAAAATGAGCTAAATGTGAATCAATCATAGCGGGTCCCTTAATTTGCACAATTTCATATTTAACCCTTTAACGTTTAATCTTTAGAAACAGAAGAAATTAATTTCCAAATAAAGATTCAGAACATGGGACCAACATATTACTTGAAACTAAGATCTTTATTGCTTCCAAAAATTAATCTAAAAAGGTTGTTTGGGGGGCATTTTGTAAGTTAAAACATAGGTATACTCGATTTTTCTCCTCTAAGAATTGCTTATTGATTTTGAAAGCAATGTTTATGTGATTCTGAAGATTAAAAGTTGTAGTGTGTATATTGATATATTCCGATAAAGGGCATTGCAAATTTACTTTTTCTGAATTTCAACATAAACAAATTTAAAAACTTATTTTATTGAAATGGGGACTCATTTTTAATTGCAATAATACACTTCCTGTATTCCAATACTCGAATAACTTTTTTTATATATAGATTTCATATCTTGTCTCATTTTGAAAATAAATGTGGATAGTGTCCACATTT